GTGAAAACGTATATTTATTAAATGTGCTAAAACAAATAAAAAGAATGTACGACCACGTATTCTTGCTCTAATAGTGATAAAAGTTTTATCATTATAACTTTGTTAGTCTTTCCTTTAATGGGGATAAAACATCTTGTATTATTAATGTAAGTATAGTATAACCTTTTAATTTTGTCATTTAAACTTTAAAGCTTTTAGAAATGAACTCTTCATATCATGAGGCTGCGTGTTTTAACCCCAGTGTTTTTGCCCAACAAGAATTTTCCTACCAAAACCATGCAGTTTTTTTTTTCCTGGTATCCAAAAATGACACAGGGTCATTGTTCTACATGGTCATTTTTCTACAATCCACATGGAGAAAAATGACCCTAAGGTATGGAATTCCATATACGACAGTCAACTGCTTACTGCCAACTGCTCACTGTTTACTACCAACTGCTTACTGCCAACTGCCACTGCTCATCGATGATATTGCCTGTTTTGTTATCTTTAAGGTATTCAATGTATTACGAAGGAGTTTTGAACAATTTTGAATCGTTTTAAACTAGTTAAAAATACATTGCTTGATAACGATGAAAGTGAAATGAACCTAATTCACATGACTGATAACACATAAGCTGATCATTTTGCACCTGAAAATTTTTGAAGAGCATTCTGCCCTTGATGGAAAGAAGAAAAATTTAATTTTGTCAAAATATCTGTGGTGAATGATTTATTTTATTTCATATTTTAATAAAAAGAGTGCTTATGTATATTTTCACCAAGAGATTTGTATGAAATTCAGATTACTTTTTTACAATATCTTATAAAGTATGCATTGATCATAGACGTTAATGCAAAATTTAAGGTGCAATTAATTGGACAATAATTAGAATTCTGTAAATTCCTTTGGTGGAGTATGTTTATTTCATAACATCTTCAAAATGCTACTATGATTAATTATTTCGGACCATTCATTTATTAGGTACAAAATATGGTCGTTACACATTGAATACCTTAATATCTTTAATACGCATGCTTAATTGAATAAACCCTATGTTATATTACAATAATAACAAAAATTGGCGGATTCAGGAATTTTTAAACAGTGAAGGCAAGGAAGGAATAAATAGAAGGAAAGCGTATTCCTTCTTGAATACAATACATTTAATTCCCACATTTCCTTGCAGGCAAATAATTCAATAGATTTTTTGATAGGGAGGAGGGTATTAAAGGCTTATATACGTCAGAAAAAAATGGGAGGGGGGACTTTTAGTAGGATCTCTGGTTACATTTGTTGGTATATGCATTTATATCGGAAATACTTCTTAAAAATCATGAAGGCCTTTTACTCTATGTAAAAACAGTTATCTCGGGCAAGGAAAATCAATTTCAGTGCTTGGGGTGGGGGGGGGGGGGGGTTACAACCCAACATAATTCCCTTGAGAAGGAATTTAAAAAAAACCACAGGCGTCTTTATTGAGGGAGCACTACTGTACATAGTATATGTTGGAAATTTAGTGGGTAACCCCCCCCCCCAATGTTTTTACAGATCTAACATTAGCTATTAAAACGAACATAAGACACATATAAAAATTCCCACACATAGGAACGTTTCCTAGGGTAAAAAGAAACACCGAAAGATATTACTACATATTTTACACTAGCCAAAAGTTATGTTATTGAAACTTTCAGTTTAATTTTACACTAGGCAAAAGTTATGTTATTAAAACTTTCAGTTTAATTTTACACTAGGCAAAAGTTATGTTATTAAAACTTTCAGTAATATTTCTAGTATAAATGCATATACCAACAAATGTTACTCAAGACGCTTCTATAAGTTTGTTCTTTTGTCGTATGTGACCCCCCCCCCCTTTTCCCGCGTCAAAAAAGCTACCAAATTATTTGCCTGCAACGAAATGCAAAAATTAAATGTTTGCTTTTAAGAGGAAATACTCCTTTTTCCGATTTACTCCCTCCTCACCTTTACAGTTTAAAAATTCCTGAATCCGCCAAATTTTGTTATTATTGTAAAAACTACGCACGCTAACTCTCGATTCCCGCATACATTTTCCATCCATTTAATTCAATATAAATGGCAATTTGGACATTAAAACTTGTTTGAATGCAAAGAAAAGTTCATTAGTATTAAGTACTAATTTAAAACCAGTGACAAAAAGTTTTAAATTGCTCTTATTTACAACTCCTTTCATAAGGGGGTAGAAAATTTTATCAATTGAAATCAGGCTGAAAACATCACGAGATTTTCAAATACTCACAAAAATTGATAAATGACCCTTAAATCTCACCGTGTGTTTAACTATATGTAAAATTCAACATATGAGATCGATAAAGTGATGAAGTGCATTTTTATTTGTTATCTCATTTGAAATGGGTAATAAAATGACTATTTTCCTGTTTTAAATCTTTAAACACGCGCCCCCCACCCCCACCCCCCTGTAAGACAACAAAACCTTTGGAATGAATAAAAACTGAAAAAAGGATTTGTTGTTTCGCGGGGAAAGATGTTTTGAAAAAAAAATTCCATTTTCCGTTAATTTCTGTAGTGAAAAATTTTCTCTAAATAAAGACTTATATCTCTTTGTTTTCCCAAATAAGTTATGTTCATTCGCGGATCTTGAGGGGGTGGGGTGGGGGATCGGGGGGGGTCTGGACCCCCCTCAGAATTTGTAGAGTTATTTAATGTATATACTAAACCAACTAAAAGTGACCTTTGACACCCCCCCCCCCTTAGAAAACGCGGATTCGTGTTAAGTTGGTATGAAGTCATAGATATGAAGATATGAAGCATAAGAAGTCCCCCCCCCCCCACACACACGAAATAGGTTTTTTTAACGTTTAGGAAAGGAGTTTATGTTTTTGTTTCTTTCTTCTTCTTTTTTTTTGTCAAGAAATTTCTGTGTTGGATTTTTTTTTACAGGGGTGGATCCCTGAAAAAATCCCTGGATCCGCACCTGGTTTTATGAAAATTCACATAAATATCAATATAAATATGAAAATTTATTCAAATATGTGTGGCAGTAGGCAGTTAGCAGTTAACAGTAAGCAGTGAGCAGTTGGCAGTAAGCAGTTAGCTGTCGTATATGGAATTACATACTAAGGCCATAATTTGTTTAAAAAAAAAAAAAAAAAAAAAAAAGGGGGGGGGGTCATTTTTCTACGTAGAATATTGACCAGGGGAACAAATTTCTACGTAGACAAATGATCCACGGTCAATATTCTATGGCGGGGGTCACTCTTCGTCCTTACACCGGCATCTGCTCGGGACCCCGGTTTATACAGTCTCATTCGAAGGACTGGTCTCCACGTCCTGCAGTGGATTTGAACCCGCGACGTAAGGATCAACTACTTACTCCGTGACTCTAGAGCTGAAGCTCTAACAACTGCGCCACGCGGGTGACCGTATGAAATGTTATGAACCATTTGCGTTTTTTTTAATTATGAATTATATAGGGAATTTAAATAGACTCTATAATAATACAGTGAACACAACATTGCAAAAACTGATTCAAGCGAATAAGGATCTACATATATACCAATAAATGGTAATTGGGAAGCTAGGGATCTTGATATGGAATAATCTGTTTCCCCTACCATGAAATGGACATTTATGCAAATGGCATATATATATATATATATATATATATATATATATATATATATATATATATATATATATAGCGGGTGTTTGCAAAATCAGCAGATTGCTGCAGCTGTATAGAGAAGGGGCCAGGTTAGGGTAGTAGAGTAGTGAGGGCGCTGAATAAGCACTAGTAAAAGGGTTACAATGTACTATAGGGCCACGTAAGCCTTATTGCATAGGATGTGTCAACTGGTCGACTACCGTAGCTTTGGCATAAGAAATAAAGGCTGAATAAGTCTGTACTTTTGTGTCAAAGTGAGCTGGAGACACCAGGCCTCAGGATCATGAAACAGACTTAAACTTAAGTCAAAATTCCAGTCGTCCATAAAATATTTACTACTTGTGAGTCAAAACTCTTACTTTGCATGCAACAGCAGTTTAATGATGCAAAGTGAAAAAGCATTTTCATTTTTGACTGCTACAATGTACCCTTCTAAATCATTTCAGTGCAATATACATTTTTTTGACTTAAGCTTAAGATGTTTCATGATCCTGAGGTCAGGTGATTAAAGACGTCTAGTCAGTAACCTGGACCCTTGGTTAGGCCAGTTGTCTGGAGATCATGGTTAAGGGTTAGGACTGGAGGTCCGGGATAAATTGTTTCTTGATTTTCTTCTGATTAGTTTTGCGAATCATAATAAATATATTGGTTAAGTAAATTGTTTGAATAATCACAGTAAATATATTGATTAGGTTTGTACCCAAGTAGACAAGAAACAATTTAGAACTCTCGGGTGTAACCGGGTACGTGTCTTCATGAAAATATGGACCGCTCGACTGGACACAAGTTACATAGTTAACTATAGCAAGTTTTTGTTAGGGAACTCCTGCTTAACCAAGCCAACTCAAAGTGCAGAAATTGACGTTGAATATTAGGTTTTAGAATTTGATATCGTAAATTTAAAAGTAAGCGAGGATTTAAAAAAAATATATGAGAATTGAACTAATCGCTTAATATCAATCAGTGTCGATTTAAGAAAGGAAAATAGTAGTTAACTTATAAGTAGTATCTTCTTTACTAATTTCTAATCTAAAGTTGATTACATGACAAATGTCACAAAACAGCTTTAGATTGAATATTAGAAAAAGCAACTACTGATTAATATTTATTTGAACTTGTTGCGTTAAGGCGACATTTTGACACTTCTTTACCTTTTTATCTCAAAACAGGCTTATCTAAAATTAGCTGAAAACCCTTTCTAGATTTTTTTTACAAGTAATTCCCGTTTTATATAGTTGTACCTAGTATATATATATATATATATATATATATATATATATATATATATATATATATATATATATATATATATATATATATATATTTCATTTACAAGAAAAGATTAAACGCACAAAATGGTATTGTATTCATTTTTAATCTCAAAATTAATTTAACGACTAAAAATAATAATTCTAAACAATGAGCACATCTCACAAATACACATCAAATACTTCAAAAATTACTTGAAAGACAAACAAAATCAGATACAAAAAATCTGAGTATTACGACCCCACTATGGGTCAAACATGGAAATGACATTTGGATCGTCATTTCCAAAAATAGCACCGGGATGTCTCTTTGGAATTACATGTTATCTCAGATAATTACACAAGAAGGACATTCCTGTTTCTGAGCACATTTCCTTTCCCAGCCAGCTTTTGCGGCCGCCACTATTTCATTTATCAAATCGTCTACACCATCTGCACTGAGAGAGGACATCTCTACATAGCTGTAGGCCCCTACTGACGTCGCTAACTCTGTACCCTGTTTTGTAGACACATAAGAACTGCTGACAACCTATAAATAGCAGAACAAAAAAACTTAATGTATAAAAAAGAAAATCTGTTTTCTGACATAGCCTTTTTAAACTAAAGGTATTGTACAAAATCATAATAAGCATCCGGGTTTTGGCATCACCTCTTCCATGGTCTTCCGTTTTAGTTTTTGTCCCGTAAATTATTATAGAAGAAAACGGACACGGAACGACATGCCTGTCATTATATCGTCCAAGGTCAGGATATTTTTTTTATTATGCACTGAAGCTTGATGCAGAACTTGATCTCTTCCATTTTATTAGCCAAAAACTGGGATGGAAGAGTTCATCTTATTTATTGTGTGTACTAAACAATTTGAGAAATTAGGAAACTGTGGTGTTATCAAACTAAAATGTTGGATCTCCTTCCTGGAAAAAAGGAAAAAGGCTATTAAATAAGGAAATCGCTCTCTGAGCGGAAGGGCGCTCATATATACAGTGTATCTTGTACGGAACGTGCCAATGACTTCTCAAGAGTACACATAACGGCGAATAAAGGTTTATTAAGTATTCGAATTTGACTTAATTTTGTTCAGTATAAATACTTCCTAATACATTATCTAGGCCTTAGTAACCCTTAATGAATACATGCTACAACGTAAGGTTCATACACTAGGTTTACCCAGAAAGGCATTATCCTGTATCTATCCCTCACTGACCAATAAATATACAGTTGTTCGTCTGTTCAGGTTCATGTCTGGTCGTACGTCATATCTTTGACATTTAATTTTTTTTCCAAACCAGATAAAGTATATGGGTGCTATAGGGACTCTACATTTTATTTTGTGAATATATTGAATTGTTGGAAAATCTCTGCAAGTTTAAACTTTTTTGACATTGATGAAATTTTAACGTCTTTATATACTTATAAAAAAAGATGCAAATTTCATAAATAATATTAAGGAATTAATAGAACAAGTTTGGTATATTGAAAAACAAAATAGTGTAGGAAATAAATGATCTAGAATGGTTATGACTGTTGAATTGTGCGAACTTTTAAAGTTGCATAAATATTTCAAACTCCGTATATCTCTGTTCATATAAGAAATACTCGAGTAATTCACTGACCTGAATATCGGGCTTTTGGAATCGTACATCTAATTTCGTTCCAACAAGTACGAAAGGTGTGTTTGGTAAATGCTGACGTAGTTCCGGTACCCATGATTCCTGAACGTGAACTAGTGATTTGACGTCATCAATTGAGAAACAAACCAAGAACACATCACTATTTATGTATGACAACACTCTGACCTTCGTGAAGTCCTCCTGAAATATTAATCTCAATGTAGAACATTTCAGTAAAACTAATGTAATTTTGAGATCACCTGACTAATTATTGCTATATATGTTTACGTCCGTCATCGTCCATCGTGTGTAATTTTCAACCAAATATGCCACAAAGCATCCCAGGATTCAATTTTATTCTAAAAAAAAGGGGTCTTGGCAAAAAAAAAAAAAAAAAAAAAAAACAGTTTAGGGTCTTTAAAGCATCTTCCGAATAACCACCAAGCCAGAAACAACAAATATTGGTCCTCCGAAGCAGAGGTAAACAAAAAAGGGGGGTACAAAATTGACATAGAAATGTACAGAAAAAATTCTTAAAACCATTTTCTCACGAATACGAGGCACAGCTTCAATATGAAGTGAAGAATCAAGTCAGGAAAGGGATTTTATTTTAATTAAGGGAAATTATAAAAATCGTACTGAAATTAAACAACGCTTATTAAAGCGTTAAAAAAAGTATTGTTAAAACTTACGGAAATAATTTATTGCAATTGACTTTTCAAAATTTCGTTATTTAACGAGACGCCAGATGTTCTTTGAATTCCGTGAAACGTAAAACGCTTACATTGCACAGAATCATTAACTGACATTAAGATGACCAGTTATGCTTTGATTGATTGAATATAATATCAGTACGATAGTGCAGATAGTTACAAACCAAAATTAGGTAAAAACAATATAATACAGGAGCAATTGGATTTGTATCGCTGAATATTGGTAGTTGATGGTTTTCAAATGCGCTCGCTAACTGATGCAATTTTAAAAAAGCAACTGTTGTCAACATCTCTCTTTACTTTAGATACAAATTCAACATCCCTATTTTTGTAATTAAGTGTTTCAAGGTCAATATCTAATTTTGAATACACCACTAATGATTGATTTCGTGTTGAACTGTTGTTGAAAAATGTGCATAAAAAAGACAATACTATTAATAATACATGCTACATGCAGATTTCTAAATCTTTACAATTATTTTTATATAGCTATACCCACCTTACCGGCTGTATCAAATATATTCAGATGATACGGGATACCCTGTACCGTCACAGTGGCTGAAAAGGGATAAATTAGGTCAGTTAATTAATATCTAGGATATACGAGAAACCTATATTCATAATTGAGATTTGAATTAATAAACATCAAGAACAGAATAAAGATGTATATATATTTCTTGGCTGAACATTATAGAGACAATGATTATACAGTACCGTATACATACAGTGCGTTTTTTTAATTTAATAGCCTATTTTCCAACAATTAACAATAACTTAATCTAACTTTATTTTTATGCCGATGTTTATTTAAACGCAAAAAATAGGTCTATATTACATAAAGCGTATAAGTAAACGCTGTTTTGCTGAATTTATTTCCTGGTTTCAGTTTTTACTTAAAGACTTGACAAAAAAGGGTGAAATATTTTTGTAACATTATAATTATCTATACGAAATCAAGTATTGTTAAAAAGTAGGATCGAGAAAAACGGAAACATAGAATTTGCATCGCATTTAAAATTATGTAATGAATTGAGTGCCATTCTAGGCTAAGAGAAAATGTTACGGTATATCAGGGTTATGGAGGGGTTTAGGGAAACTATCTTTGGAGTACCTAATAGAGAGAAAACCAACGTTCAAGTATACCCTCGATCTTAAAATTAAAACTTTATATTAATTAGGCCTACATGTACATACATGTACATTATGGTTTTGAATATTTATAAATGCAACTGAATATAATCCGAACACATTTTAAATTTTTCATGTATCAAATTTTCGAATTCGATATAAATGTTTGATTTAAAATGCATCAAAATAAATTCAAGTAAACTTTCAAAACATATTCCTTTTTGCTAAATTCTTATTCTCATGACCTGATATGAACTGTATCTTCATAATACACAAAAATAATGAAACGTAAAGAATATCATTAAGTCATGCCTGCAGGATTTGGTTACCTAACAGTGTTAAAATCAGTTGTAACCTTTAATAACGATAGGAGGAGGTTATAAACGATTGACTCAGGGGACGACCAGGTAATGCTACCAGACCACAACCTCGCACTTAATTAATGCACAGGTGAACGAATACCCTAACCACAGTATGCACCTAATAACTCAAAAACCTTCACATCCAGGTATTTTAAAAGATAAACGCCCTATTACTAATAAATTGGCTTTTCTTTTTCTTTTTTTCTTTTTTTTTTTCTTTTTTCAAGATCCCTGATATCGAATGAATAGTTTACTGTAAATCTAAGAAGAAAGATTTGAAATATCTCACACACGCTACTTTTCTATTTTCCTCAATTTCAAAAGTCTTTCATGCCATTCGGCTAAAATTCCAATATAGCCAAAGAAATGAAACGGAAACACAGACGTTTCACTGATTTTTAAATCAAACAGCAATACAAACTGTCATCATACACAAAACAATCCGTTAAGGGAAGTCTAGAAACCATCCATAAATAGTCTACCTGAATAATTGTCAAACAGAGTTGGAGAATAGTCCGATTTAAATGTTCTCGAAGAAATCCTAGCAGCTAAGCTGGACTTGCCAACGCTCATATCTCCCACCAGAACACATTTCAAACTGAGTTTATCCCAGAAGGTATACTTCTGTTTCATTTTGGGACCTTTGTTAGCTCCAGTAAACCTTTACATGCTCCACTCACTTCCACACACGCGAGAATACTGATTTAACATAAACAGGAAGGGGACGGGTACTCACAAGGCCAGCGATTGGCTGCAGCGTCAGCCCAAAATGACAGTTTCCGCGAAAAAAAGTGTTTTATTTGTCTCAGCAGTTTTTATCACTTTTAACAAAAGAACTTATAATTTGGAGGTCATGTTTGTCAATACGTTGCCGAAGAAGAGATCGAATTAATTTCTAATGACTATTTATAATACTGACTTTATATTTTATATATTTATAAGTTACTCATTGTCGAGTGAAAGGGTGGAGAGAATTATGCACCCGCTCATGGTCTTTGTTCTCTTTTTATAAAGGAAACGTGATTCAGTTGATCATTGCTGCTATGTACACAGAAGTTAAAGACGAGCACCGTTTTATGAATCACCAAAAAATGTTAATACATGTACTCATACATAGGTCAGTTGCCTGTCGTTTTCAGTTTCCTGTCTATATGTCACCATCACAGGTTACTAAACTAAAAAATGACTTCAAAAGTTAATCCAGCATTACTAACAAACCCGATGTCGAATTTGGTGTTTGATTATTTTGTTTAAACCACAGACAATCCCAATGTCTAATTTGTATTGTTTAAAACCAGATATAATTTGTGTATTTTCTGTTTGAGTATCCACATCCGTAAACTGTTATATCTGTGTTGAGGATGAACGATGTCAGGTTTACATCATGGTGAAGAAAACGTGTCAATGTCAAAAGGAAGGATATTCACATGCCCGTCTTTACACAAGTACATACTCGTAATTTTCTACATTAAAGTATCGCCATAGATTTTGTATTTTTGGATAATACTTCGAAGTATAATATGTTTTGTCTCCATATTTTAAAAGTTTTCAATTCTGACTTCTGAATAATTGAGGGCAGGTGGGGAAATACACATTATTATGCTTCCTGTCAGTTTGTCTCTTTATAATCAATACCCAACTATTTTCGCATAGTGTTCTAAGGATTTATATAGCGTAAGCATACTATGCCGAAATAGTGCACGGCTGTCTTTTCTAGAGAAAATGTAATTAGCACCCACGCTGGGGGTCGAACTCACGATCTGTCAGTCCAACGCGTTACCGATTACGCCACAAACACCGCTACTTTACGGAATGTATTTTCAAGTATATAAACGTAGTTTTTATACATTTGTCACAAAACAAGAAATAAATGAATATATTTTCTAAAAGACTGATATTATTGATAAGGATCTTAAAGAAAAATTCTCTAACAAATAATCGAATTTATCAGTAACCAAAATTGCAACGTAACATGAACTGGTTCTTCGGAGTCAATAAAACGCTTTTTGATATAACGCTTGATTAAAGAATGTTCAAGAAAATTTTCATTTAGATTTAACGTCTGCAAACAGGTTTGGGATTGAGAATTTAATTAAATTGTCGTATACAAACAACAGTCAGCATAATAATTATAATAGTGTTATTATTTGGATGTACTATGCCGAAATAGTAGTCAGGGTTTGACACATAGTGCACTCGCCTCCGGCTCGTGCACCATGTGTCAAACCCTGACTACTATTTCGGCATAGTACATCCAAATAATAACACTATTATATAAATAGCAACCGACAATTTTGAATGAAGTAACTGAGAAACTCGAAATATGCATAATATGCATAATTATGAATAATTGTAATTTAACTTTTATAAGATCAAACTTTATTCATAATTTTTGCTTGAAGTCCCATTGTATTTCAGAAAACAAATTCGAAATTATAAAGTTCTTTTTTACTATAATAATCTAAGTATTTCCATTATACACTGCATAATGATACTGCTTGAAGAACAAAGTTGATATTTTTCATTTATTTTTACTTTCAATTGATTTTTTCTTTGTTATTGAAAAACAACAAAGTATATATATGTATTCAGATGGGAGTAATTTTAAAGTTAAAGCTTAGAATACATATATGAAAAATATAATTATTATTTCTGAAAATATAAAAAGGGTGGATAAAGAAAGAGCAAAGTTCAATCATAACCATTTTCTGTACCTGATACATGGTATAGAACTTGTTTGTAGATAAATAGAGAATTGTTCTTGATTAAGGAGTGTAAAATGTTGCATAATTATGGAAATCTTGTACCATATTTGATAAAACTTGTACCATATTTGATAAAACTTGTGATTTATATTGAATATTTTTTTTAATTCATATTTAAAAACTTGTTTTTTATATTCGTAAACCTGTGAATTGCGGATCGTACCCCAAGTGTTATAAAAAGAATGGCAATGTTCATGTTTTGTTATGGGAATTCACCAATATCTGTCCGATGGAAACAATAGGAGGTGCACAATGCCACTCTGTAAAAAAAAAAAAACTATATAGCCCCCACTTTTCAAGCTGGGGGTATAAAAATGGAACAAGAGAATTCGAAATGATTGAGAAGAAATCAATTAGGGTCAACGTTCTTTTCCGCCTTACAATACAAATATAGTAAAGGGAAACTGAACCGAAGTGGCCTTTAGATATATGTTGGTTACCAAAACCTATTTTCTCATTCCTATACATTGTAATACATACGTTCTTTAGGTTCCACACCGTACAAAACAATTAAAATGTCCAAATGTTATCCCCATTGTCTCTCCAGTAAATTTAATTGACCATACACTAATTACGAGCTATAAGTTTAAATATCTGCGCGAATTGACACGTGCACGCCTCTATCGGGAGAATCACCCTAGGCCTTTAACAGGACGTCTTATCCCCAGAGCGTGTTCATTCTGCGGAAGGCTCGCTGTTTTGTTTCCAACTTCGCTTCACTTCAACTCGGGGCTTTTATTTACGTTGTCGGTTTTCACGTGTTTCTTTGGAAAACTGTTTATATACATTGGATCACAACTTTCGATTTCTTTCTTTTTAATTTTCTTTACAGTTGTTTTGTGATTTTATAGGAATTGTTTCCCTGGGAATTTAATCTTACTAACTGAAAATGGTCTATATTGTGGAAATCTGGCCATAAAGAAGTGAAGATTTTGTAGAATTTAACAGGAATGTTCGTGACAGTTAAGTATGGGGGCAAGTATCTACCGTATATATGTTTTTTTTTTTAGTCTTTCTGACATCACGGGAAAAAAACGATGAATTAGCTAATCAGAGTTCATTTAAGCTTTCCATAGACGTTATTTAAAACTTATTTGTAATCAATATATTTCTTGTTTAATGCCTCAAACATATTGAATAAACCCAGAATTACGTTCTTTATTCGAACCCTTTTATATTTTGCATCTTGAAAAGAACACGAGTGGTGTTTTCATAATTCATTTATTTAATATCGATTTCTGTCAGGTTTTCATAAACTGAGTTACATTGAAAGCTCGTATAATATTTTAATTTCTAACAAAGACGCAGGTTTTAGGATAGCATTACCATGATGGAGTGTGAATTGTTAGGTGTATTCGCATGTTGTCAATAAAATACTGATATTAAGGCGATAAGTCGCGGTTTTCCTTTTTATTGGTTTTGCCATTTACAATTTTACCTTTTCAGTCAGTTGATAACATTTGAAAATGTAGTCCGAGTGGATTATTTCTATCAAATACACATCGATCGTAACCTTTTTACACTTAATTGTTTTATTGCCCAGTGTAAGAAGTGGTTTGTGTGTTATAACACATCTACGAACAAATTCACTCTCATTTGTCAATTGTTTTATTGCTATCTTCACAGTTTCAAGTGCACTTTCTACCTGAAACGTTCATTCATAAAACACAGGTATAAAAATTGCTTAAAATATAAAGAAAAAAAAAACAAAATGCAAATTATTTTTTATTATGTTTCTTTTAAATAGACGAGCAAAGTCGTCTCTTCAATGCTAACTGCAGAAACGACGTCCTTCTTCAACACATCAAGAAACGGTGTGATTGCCAGCGAGATGGTAAGTCAGAATATAGGAAAAAAATTCTACCCCAAGTCAAACAATGCTTTCTACACTGCTCTGTCAAATATTGACACAGAACCCTTACGTACATAGGTACGACCAGACAGGCTACAATACATTATTTATCTAACAGGTGGTTTTAAATATTTAAATCTTTTTTCTAATTAAGATGTATGATAACAATGTTTAGCGTCAGTTGATTGTTGTAATGCTGGTTATTAAAAGATACCAGATCCTTTTTGTAGATATTACACAGTTTATCTTGTCTTGTCTAGATACTGGATCCCTCAGTCGTGCGCACGTATTCTTTCAGCTATAACTTTAATTAGGTTTTTTCTGTGTGTCCTTCGTGGCCTTGAACGATCAAATCACATCAATTTATTGCAGTTTTGTGTTTCAAGACACACAACTATTCCTCTTTATTAAAATGTCCTTTAAGGTAAGGTAAGGAGTCCCTCAATCTTTCAAAAGTATGTCGATCATTAGTTTTTCGATCAGAGGTTTGACGATCTTGTTGAAGTGGGTGGCGTATTATCAAACATTGATGATAACATTCCTTGTTACTTTGTACAATAATTATTCCTCAGGATCAAATTAAAGAACAAACAGAATCGATCTGAGTAGAATACCTTCAATAATATCTTTAGTGATAGGGAGACATTACATATAAAAAGTGTTGTTTACTAGTGGTTAATTCCATTTACAAAAAATTACAACACATTCATTTAACTTAACGACGTCAAGAATCTAGAAAGAGCTCTATGTGTTTTGACAAAATTACTTTAAAAAGATAGCAATCTTTTGAATCACATACTAGGATGGAAATTGTAACGAGTTGACTGTCCTCACTCACGTCATGGCGTCAGACAGTACTAGATTTAGCCAAGGCTTGTTGGTCAAGTCGTTCAATAGAATTATTGTGATAACTTGATCTTGGAAACTTCATACTATCTTATCAGTTGGAGAGCATGAGGAGTAAAGGAAACATGCTAAATACCTAAGGCCAAACAAAAAAATATATGTGGTTCCGGTTACACTTCCGAAAAAATTAGGGTAGGTAGGTAGGGATTTTTTTTTTTTTTTTAACAAAATGATTTTCTTAATTTTTCTAAATAATACCTATCACTGCTTTTCAAATGGCATTTAGATGTGGTGTGATAATATACTAGTCAATATTGGTAGGGGACACCTACATGCTAGCTTGCTTTGGATTTAACACTATTAAATACTAGCACTATGTTTTGCAAGGAGGCCACCATTGCTGAAACTAAAACTTAAACCGGAGCCATTCATGGAAATCTGGGAAAATTCCGGAAAAAATATGAAAATTGCCCAAAAAAAGTTTAGGGTCGGGGGTATAAAATAGGGAAGGTCGGGTAACCGGAACCACACATATTTTTTTATTTGGCCTAACCAAGCCAGAACATTGGAGCTGATGTCATTATTATCACATTATACATTACAGGTTACATAACATTTGGCCATTCTAGAATGCATATCATTAATGTCAAGCAAAACAGCAGGAATGAAGCTGGTCAGGTCAACACTTGTCAAATATCTTTTATCAGATTAACTAGTGGATGTTTATTTTCAATGCATATACTAAGTCTCTCTACCTTTGGAACTCTTATAAATCTACACATATTCATAACTTGCAGACGTTTGATTAAATTCATAGTTTAAAAAAATATAAAAGTGAAAGATATAGTTAATGAACATTATTTTGCTAAAATGCAAAAATGGTAGTTCATTTGTAACACGTTTATTTTTTATTATTATCAAAATTGTACACCAATTGAAGTTTAGATTTTTATGTGTTGTAACGGGTTACATCTTTGTATCCATGAACAGGGTCCTTTGTAAGAAATTTAACGTGGAGGGGTTAAGGTGGACACTATCAGGGAAAAAATCCTTTAGTTATCAAGCATTAAAAAAATTTATCATACGCTATTTATATTTACCTGATTTATGGGACACAAGCATAAAGTACCTATATATAAATCAACAAAATTATTGGGGGAGGGGGGCACAGTTACCGACCCCCCCCCCCCCCCCCGTGTTCCTACGGCCTTAAAAAAGAATGACAAATAATAGAGTTTACATAGAATAAATTCATGTCCAAGTTTTATTTTTATGCTGATGCCACTGAATTGAACTTTTCTTGTTTCTTAGCAGAAAGATTCATTTCCAGACTTAGAGCAGAGTCATATATGTCTCTGCTCAGAGTCATGTTAATTACACATGGGTTTAACTTTTCTTGATTCTTCGCGCAATAAGAAATTTGCTCAAGTCAGACAAGCTTTTTAGGAAAGCTAATACTTGTTTTAGTATTCATTTTCACCTTGTTTTTCCACCGAGTAGTGTTATTTTTTAATGCTTGAGCACAACATGGTCTTTGCAGATGAGTATAGCCATCTGAGCAGTAAATCCTAACCTTTCCTAAATCTTGAGAAACAACCTCTGCTATAAATGTTTACTCCAGGATTGTACATTTTGGAAACTCAAGCAACTTATCCCAATTACATCACAGAGCATAAAGATTAAAAATTACTTAAAGATGTTTAGTGCAGGCCCGTAGGAAGCATTTTCACTTTGAGGGGGGACAACTATACATTTTCAGTTGGGGGGGGGGGGACTATCAACTACCAAAATTCGTTGACAAGCAAAAAAGGTCATCAGACGTTATTATTGAGGGCGCACAAGCATATAGTAGCTATATTTTCTATAGTATTCTATATATCGGCAAAATTATCGGGGGCATTCCCCCCCGTGCCCCCCCCCCCGTTCCTACGGCCATGAAGTGCCAGAAAAAGTAAAATGAATACAAACAATTATACATTTTACAAATTAATTTATGATGTTATTTTACTTTGCACAACTGTTTCAGACATAGTGGAACTCTCTGATGAGAAAGGGGTGGTCAAACACTTGAGGAACTACCCCTACGATTATGGAATAGATCACCTGAGGGAACGGGAGACACTGATCCTCCTCAAAGTCGACGGTAAGGATAAAAGGTCTTAGTGCTAAATAAGAAACATTTAAAATTGCTATATAAAACATCAATTTTAAATTTTTTTAATATTACCAACAGACATATTGATTTTGAATTACCAATATTGGACTCCAAAACATAATAAAAATCCTTACAAAGATACATAAAGGGATGCTAGCAAATGTTCTACCTAGCCTCTTTCTTTACTCCTCACGAAAATATTAATAGCAGTGAAAGATAAAGTGCAACAGTACTGTAAAACAACACATTCAAGAAGTGATGTTAATCAAATGTGGATACTTAGAAATTCCAAAAGAAATTTCACAAAATTGGAAATCAATTTTTTCCCCAAAATAAATGGCATCAAAACGTATCATTTTCAACGATAAATTAAAGACCAGACTATTCGACATCATAGACAGCCGCTTTCTTAAAAAGAACAAAACTCGCAAATTTACCTTTTTAGTCATTGGTCATATACAAACTTTGTGAAAAATCATTCCGAGTCTACACACATTGTCAAGCACTCTGAAGTTGAACTTTAAAAGTTGTTTTGAGTTCTTCATTGGCAATATCTACTTATATTATTCTTTGGAGACCAGGTTTTCAAATCATTTGTTGGAATTCACATGATTACGAATTGTGCCCCATTATTCGCAGATTTGTTTTTGCATTCTTATAATTAAAAGCAGAATTTATTCAAAAACTTCTACATGAAAAGAAGAAATCTCTAGCTTTAACCTGCAATTCATCATATAGAGATTTTGATGACATTTGAAAAATTAACAATATTTATTTAAATCATACGTTGATTTGAGATATCCGATTGAAATCGAAATAGAAAACATCACGGAGTCGGACGCATTTCATTTTTGGATATTTTACTAGAGAAAGACATTGATAAAACAAGATGTGTTTCTGAAACACTGATGCCCCCGTATGGCAACTTATAGCAAAGGTTAATTTTAAACTTTCTCAAATGCAAATCAAATACGTTGGTACCCAAAGTAAGGTCTTGTCTCGAGGAATATACCTGTGAAATATGACAGCCCTAGCAGCAACCATTGAATAGATATGGAAAAGGTTATAGTTTTTTTAAAAGTATGTCAAACATCAAGGTCAAGGTCAAGTGGTCAAAATAATGGTGCCCACGGAAAGACCTTCTCCCAAGAAATACACAAGTGAAATATGAAAGCCGAAGCACCAATCATTCAAAAGTTATGACCAAGGTTAAAGTTTTCCAAAAGTAGGTCAAACTTCAAGGTCAAAGTCAAAGGGTCAAAGTTAATGGTATCCAAAGGAAGGTCTTGTCACAAGGATTACACATATGAAATATGAAAACCCTAGCACCAATCATTCAAAAGTTATGGCCAAGGTTAAAGTTTTCCAAAAGTAGTTCAAACACGAAGGTCAAAATCAAGGGGTAGAGTTGTTGGTATCCAGAGGAAGGTCTTCACACAAGGATTACGTATGTGAACTATGAAAGACCTAGCACCAATGTTCAAAAGTTATGGCCAGGGTTAAAGTTTTCAAAGTACGTCAAACTCCAAGGTCAAAGGGTCAAAGTTGTTGGTATCCAAAGGAAGGTCTTGTCACAAGAATTACACTTATGAAGTATGAAAGCCATAGCACCAATTGTTCAAAAGTTATGGCCAGGGTTAAAGTTTGGTAAAATTTTGCAAAACTGGGTCAAACTCCAAGGTCAAGGTCAAATATGGTGGTACCCAAAGAAAGGTCTTTTCACAAGGAATACACATGTGAAATATGAAAGCCATAGCTCAAACCAATCAAAAGTTATGGGCAAGGTTAAAGTTTTTTCGGACAAACAGACAGACAGGGCAAAAACTATATATCCCCGAATCTTCGATATTGGGGCATAGAAAGCTTAGTGATAAACGTGATAACTTCATTTTTTTGTCAACTTCCCTTCTTTATGTAACAATATACCATGGTTATTGTTGTTTCGATACACAAGAGCAGGTTCTTCGTACATGATAATATGTTAATAAATGGGTATTTAAAATCTCGTTTAAAGTCATTTTTTGAAAATTCTATGGTCGACACAATGACCTTGTTAGCAAATGCAATCTGTTGTAAGGGTCGAATATTGACTGACTCGTCTTTCATCAAATTGTTAGGACATTAATTTTATACTGAATTTTCTATGGATGTCTCCGTTTGCCCGATCATGACAAAGTGCACACGGTGGAAGTGTTCGGTCAAATGAGGATTCTTATTCCTCCATGGCACCTGATCCCACCTTGTTTTCAGAGGATCATGTTTGTTCTGCTTACAATTTGTATTGTTTCTTTGGACTTTTGAGCATGATTACTTTTCGTTATTTGCAAATTCCATTTGCAACACATGTGTAACACATATTACGTTAACTGTACAAACAAGATGTGTTTGTGAAACACTGATGCCCCCATATGACAACTTATAGCGAAAGTTAAACTTTCTCAAATGCAAATCAAATATGTTGATACCCAAAGTTAGGTCTTGTCCAGAGGAATATTCATGTGAAATATGAAAGCCCTAGCAGCAACCATTGAAAAGATGTGGAAAATGTTAAAGTTTTTCAAAAGTAAGTCAAACATCAAGGTCAAGGTCAAATGTTCAAAATTAATGGTGCCTAAGGAAAGGGCTCCTCAGAAGAAATACACATGTAAAATAAGAAAGCCCTAACACAAACCGTTCAAAATATATGGCCAAGGTTAAAGTTTTTCAAATGTAAGTCAAACTCCAAGGTCAAGGTCAAAGGGCTATAATTGTTGGTATCTAAAGGAAGGTCTTGTCACAAGGATTACATATGTGAAGAATGAAAGCCCAAGCATCAACTGTTCAAAAGTAATGGCCAAGGTTAAAGTTTTCCAAAAGTAGGTCAAACTCCAAGGTCAAGGTCAAAGTGTCAAAGTTGTTAATATCCAAAGAATGGTCTTGTCACAAGGATTACATATGTGATGTATGAAAGCCATAGCACGAACCGTTCAAAGGTTATGGCCATGGTTTAAGTTTTTCAAAAGTTGGTCAAAGTCCTAGGTCAAGGTCAAAGGGTCAAAGTTGTTGGTCTCTAGAGAAAGGCCTTTCACAAGAATTACACATGTGAAGTATGAAAGCCCTAGCACCAACTGTTCAAAAGTTATGGCCAAGGTTAAAGTTGGGTAAAATTTTGCAAAACCGGGTCAAACTCCAAGGTCAAGGTGAAAAGGTCAAATATGATGGTACCCAAAGAAAGGTCTTGTCACAAGGAATACGCATGTGAAATATGAAAGCCATAGCTCTAACCCATCAAAAGTTATGAGCAATGTTAAAGTTTTTGCGGACAAACAGATAAACAGACAGACAGACGGACGGACAGGGCAAAACTATGTACCCCCGAATCTTCGATACGGGGCATAAAAAGTTGCAGCAGAATTTTGTCTAAAATTCGTTAAATATATATGTTACAGATATGAACATTTATCTTATGTACTTTTAAGCATATGATCAACATTTTAATCAGATATCAATCATAATTATATACTGCTTAATACACATATATTTTATATGTTAAAAAATTAGAGCACTCGTTTCTAGTTTTCAAGGTTAGTCATAGTTAACTTGATTTTACACTTTGATTATTCTGATACTCTGATTTAATCTGAAACTGTGACGGCGAATGTTGCCTTGTATTTCCAAAATTTAATACTTTGAAAATTAATTTGGCGTATGTGGGTTGTAATAGCAGATACTTTGAAACTTTGATGGGAGTATGAAGGCTGTAATTTCTAAAGAAAAGATTTGATAGTAAAAATTATTATTTAAAAAACGTTTGAAATGGAAATTGATCGTAAAATTTTGTACATGGAAGCTGAAATGATTTAACCATAGTTTTATTGTAGTTTAAAATTGTGAAGGTTTAATTAACTACAAAATGCTATATTTTATAATGGCTTTGCAGTTATTTTTTGTTTATTTCTTTACATACACATTAGTTTGTGTATGTGTGTATTTTTTTAACAAACCACTCTCAAGATATGCGTAAGTAAAACCACAATATATTGATGATCACAACAAAGTAAGTTGTTCCACCCTTTTAAACTTCCTGAAATCTCACAATTGCGTCAAAGTATGGGCTTTCTACTTTATTCAAAATATTAATGTCCCATTTTTCCCTTATTTACAATTAAATTTTAATAGTTCTGACATCATTCAGGCTTCTTTATGAATTTATTTAAAATGACAGGTATCATTTCCTCTGGAGGTTTATTTCTTAATCTGCATAACAAGGGGTACTATGAATTTGTTCTTCAGATATTTGTGAATTATTGAGACATTGCATTGACCAGTTTGAATAAGATATCTGGAGATTTCATGGTTATCATTATATCAAATTCATTACTTCTGTCCCTCTATCTACTAAGGAAATTTTAGCATGAATATTGAAGAGAACGGTCGATGTTTGAAAGATCCGTGCCCTGTATGCTACTAATAAAACGTAAAATTATTTTATCTAAGTTTGTTAGAACAGTTGATGATAGTGTTGGATCTGCTTACAGGTAACATGTATGGAGACGAGAACGACTCGACAATGGGCGACAGGCTGACATTTATCCCACTCCTAGCCAGCATGGAGGGCAATCAAGAATTTATGGGTGAGCATCAATCCTCTCTGTAGTGACAGTTTTCTAATAACACTCTGTTTAATACGATGCTTTGTTATTATTTAGCCGTAAGTTTCAGAGTTATTTACACGTGAAGTCTGAGTGCCAATACACTTTATTTGCACAGCATGATATATCACTTTATTCCTATGAAATATGAACAGTTTACTAGATAAGTTTGGAGCAAATTTGTCTTCTTATTATAATTTATCCGTCAAATAACTTAATGTTGTTTTTTTATTTGTAATGATTATAATATTTTGATGTTTCTTTCCAGAACTGATTAACCCTCGGCCACAGTCACGTAAGAGTTCGGCACGTGAAGACGATCGAAGAGTGAAAGCAAAAGGCGGGAAAACTCCTCCTACCACCAAACGACAGAATACCAAATCTAGCGCGAAAAAGACTTCCTGACAGAGTGTAATTTAGAATGTTTTATTTATTGTAAATGTCTGTGTGTATTTGAGTATGTTGTTCAAAAGTAAATTATAATAAACAGAATTTCGTTGTATTCAGTGACTTTTTACTCAGAGTATCGCCGAAATGTTTGGAAAACTTGAGTTCAGTGTCGGCCATCGAAAATAAGTATGTCAACAGTACAAAATAGACACATGAAACACAAACAGGAAACAAAACACAAAAAAATTAAGAAAACCACAAACAGACACACATACAACCAAAATTTTAACACAACTATATATATTAACAGACACACGCTCTATTAATGAATATAATTTGAAGTTGACTATCACCCACAGATTTGAACAGATTGGTAATGTCCAAAGTAGAACATTGAAGTTTTGTAATCTAAAACACACACACACTAACACATCCACACACTGACAACTAACCAAAACAACACTAAGAATTAAATGTAGATATGTTTAAGGACATTTCCAAAATGCATGTTTCCAAAATATTTAATAAAACGTGAATATTAACAAAAAATAGCCCTGAAAATTCCAATAGATTTTAATTACTATAGAATATAACCTTTAGAGGTAAGCTAATATAATCCAACATTTGGTTGTCTTCCTGAATCGTGGAATTAAAGTGAAGCATCTAGGCAAACATCCGTTACATCGAAGAATTTAACAAAGACTTTAGTTAGTGTAAGAAGATAAAACAGCCCTGCTCTTCTCCAGAGAACAGAATCAGTGGTTAACGTTGCTCATGTCTCTTTCCCCTTACGTGTACATTGTACTATTTTATTCTTTAATTAAAATATTAAGTATCGCCCAGATGCACAGATTCTGAAAGAATTTTCATCGATGGAATTGATTAATATTTCAAAGTAATATTCCCAATAACATTTATGACTAAAAATTTGGAATTGTAAATAAGACCAGCAACAACTCTAGAAAAGGTGCAGTATTTTGCACCTGTCCTCATTTCCGTATACAGTTCAAAAATCCTCTTAACAAATTAAATGCAAACATTGTGTTTTTGAAAGAAATGTAATGCTGTTAAAGACGCAAACAAAGACGTCGTGAATTTTGTAATTTACCAAAGTTTACAAATAAATCATGATAATTGATAGTTTACTTTGTGATATATAGTTGCCTCCCCCCCCCCCTTTTTTTTTGCATTCATATCAGTTTCAATGTGTCAGTGGATGCTATGAGTCAAGTTTTCAGACAACACTTTTCGAATTGGGTATCATTCCCACTGGAGTGCCTTCCACGTATCTTTTTAGTTGCTGGTTTTTTTTTAGCAAGGGTCTTCTTTATTCGCTTAAAATATGTAAAAATACAAACAAAAAGATACGTGAAAGGCAATCTAACAACATAGTATTCAATTCCCAAAATGTTGTCTGAAAACTTAATTCATATTATGCCTAGATGCATTCAGACTGTTTTTGTGCATAAAGGTTAGGAACTAATTCTTTCAAAGTAGAAAAAGTGCATTTAATTTGTTCACAAAAGAATGTTTGGTAAAAAGTTTTTTGAGCTGCACACATTAGTCACGAAGTATCATCCTTCATTGGCCATGTGTAATTTATGTGTATACATACATAGGAAAATACATGTATGTCATGTCAATACTCCAGATGAAGACCCAGGAATATCTGACCACAAAATCTACTGTATTTGGATTGCATGCTACTGAAATGATAGGTTTGTTACACTTTGTATGTTGAGGGACCATGCAATATTTATCATCAGGGTTTGACCGGTGCAAAAGAAACAAAACCAAAACTTTAAGTAGATTTCCTGGTCCCTGAAAAAGTTATTGTTCTTCTTCACGTGTATCTGCTACACATAAATGACATTCACAGCAGTTAAACCAAACTTAATACCTGTTTAAAGGAAAATTTAACAATTTTACTCGTCTAGCAATTTATTATTAACACTGTCTAATAAATATGATGGTAAATATTCTCTTTCATTCATAATTGAATGGGGGATCTATCATGAAAAATAAACTTGTATAATTCAGAATATGTGTTAAGGTATTCGCTTTAGGAGTCTTTATTTATACATACATGTATTCCATAAGTATTATAATTGAATTTTTTAAAAACAAAATCATGCACAAATGTTCTAAAACACCAGATCCCGCGCACATTAGCTTCAACTACAAGAACATAAAGAAAACATATAGAAAATGCTCTTTAAAACCAACAGATTTCCCAAAGATATGTTATTCAAGAGCGATAACTTTCACATTACTTTCACATCTACATTTTACATGGGTATTTTTTTCCATTGAGTATATGAAACGTGGCAAAAGAGTTCGAGTTGTTTTTTTTAGGTGGGGTGGGGTTGGGGTTGGGGGTTAGGGAGATCTTTTAAATTGCGGAAGGAGCCCATGAATATCTGAACCAATAATGAACCAATGAATAATTGTTACTCAGAGTAACTTGAGAAACCCAAACCTGCTTAATTAAGTGTCTCTTTTTTCACAAACATTAGTATTTGACTGGGTGCTTTATCGAAAACTATGCTGTGACAACTTAGCTTCAGCTTGCACGGTTATAATAGAGCAGATTGACCTGAGTGATTAGAAGAAAAAAATCGTGAAACAATATAACTCACGTATATATTCCGAAATCCATTGAATTAATTAAACATGGTAAAGTGTATGGAAAAACTGACAATTGAAAATAGACTGGACTTCATTTAGAGTCTTCATTTGTGTCTTTTATGGATCTATGGTCGACTGTACATAGTTAGCATAAGGTTTTAATTATTATTGGAGCTTTCGGTCTTTATTTTACAATAAGTAACTCTGTTGTTGAATCTACTTTGCTCATTGTTATCTTTGGCAAAATCTTATTCGGAGCTTTGGTTTGCATCTTTTAAGTATCCTCTTTTCAGCCTCTGATTAAACCTCATTTAAAGTCTCTGAGATATTGCAAAAGAAATAAAAGTTATAAAACATTGTAATTTTGACAGTCATGTTTACAATCTCCGGAATAATATTGTTTCCCTTATATTTGGTTTAGATCCTCTAGCAGAACTTTTTTCTAGCCTTTTGTTGAATTGTGTTTGGTGTCTCTAGCATTCTGACTAAAACCAGACCCTACTATTTCACTTCCTATACAACGAAGTGCAACAGTAGGGTCTGGCTTTAGTCAGACTGATGTCTCTAGATGAACTCAGTTTAATAAGATTTTGTTCGGTAACTCTTGCTGAATCTTTCTTTTCTTTCGATGTCAGGTAGAATCCCATTCTGTACCTGTCTCTCAGTCATGTTCAGAGACATTCTTCATTTCAAAAATAAAGCTTTCTTGTATTATTGGTATGTTATAACTGATGCAAATAGAGAAAATATGTGACTCAAGAGAAAGAGCAAGGTACGATCAGAAACCATATTCTATGCCTGACACTTCATACAAAACTTCTTTACCATTAAATGGGGTACATGTACTTCTATTATAAACAATACTCTGGAATCACCTAATTCGCGGGGCTTAATGTTCGTGGACAACTTTTACTGGTTCATGGGGACAAAATTTTGTGGAAGGCAAATCGTTTAGTATACAGTTCCGCGCACTTTTTAAGCCCACATAGTTTTTTGCAAAAATTAATAAAAGTCACATTGTTACAATGTGATATTATGTAATGAGACAACAAAATATATTTAAAGGTGATTTTTGTTTATCTTTTTTTTCTATCTCACTTATAAAAAAAACAAAAACAAAATTCATAAATAATATTTGGTAGGACTTGGATATAGTCTTGGCTTGATTCATTTTACAATCCTTTGCATCTTCAACTTTCGAACTGATTCGCTTTTCCTGCAATGCTAAATTTTTTAAGATTCTCTGACTATGGGTGACGCGTTTTTTCTTTATCTAGACACAGTAATTGTTTCTTCTATTTTCTGAACATTTACCTGACTCCGTAACGCAAGATGATAATACACTACTAGTATTTCTTATCTGTTCGACTGCTTTCCATGTTAAAAATCTGGCATTTTTCATAGTAACTATCTGAAATCCAGCTTCAAGAAAGATCCGTTCTAATGCAAAATAACAAAGTTTCAAACCTTATACATGTATATAAAAGAATATTTCTTTCAATAATAAAAATTTATCATATTTAAAGATAAACAATGCTATATTATTCTATACCTTTTGGCATGGTTTCCATCTCCAGCTATTTCCCTTTTCGGCACTACATTTCGATAAAATCGAGACGAGTATGATAAATTAGCGAAGTACTTAGAAGAATGCTCACCTTAAAGATTTCAATTTAAAAACATCCAACCAATAAGTATTAAAGAAAACTCGATTAATTCTATTTGAAAATACCTATGGCAGAATCATCAAATTTGTTACATCGTACCATTTATTGATAAACCCCCCTTTACAACAGCGACTTTGAAAACTTAAGAAAATGTTTTTAAGGGCATATGCCCTTGACATGAGATACCAAATACATCTCGTGGCTAATTTTTCGTACTTCTGTTTGATAATGTGAATTATTACTATAAAAAATATGTGACCTACTTTGTGCAAAAAACCATATGAGCTGAAAAAGTGTGGAGCTGTATACAGAAGATTCTTGACAAAGTTTTGACTGGAGATGGCAAGGTTTAAAGTTTGCGTTAGGTAAGAAATTAAAGCGAATGATTACATCACCAATTATACTAGGCTACGAAGCTATTCATAATGTAAAGCAGCAGTTATATGTATATTCTTTTTGAAGAAAAAAAATCCTACATCTCCTTATTTTGTGTTTGCATTTCACAACGGTCCCATATAAAAGATAATGAAATAAATTTCCTTATTTCATTGCAACCTCTGCGTACATCATGAGGCACATTACATTTTTTTGTTTTTTTGTTTTATCGTGTGGACATGGAGTCCACAGTTTACTATCAACACATGGAAATGATGTCGAACAACTGAAACAACTTGTTCAGCAGATGAATGCTAGCCTCCAACATGTGCTTGCTGAAAACCAAAACCTGAATGCAGAAATTGATGGATTGAAGAATATAACCTCTCGTATAGCGGCGACTAGCACAGGTATTAAAAATTGTTAACGTTTTTTCATAATTACAATTTGTGAATTTCAATTTGAAATAAAAAATATTCGCTATACCCAGTACCTATATGCACTCTTTCATTATTCTGTATTTGTGCCATTATACATGTATAGAATTCATTCCATCGTTATCAATCAATATCGCATTGAGATCGTCCGTTTCTGACCCGCGGCATAACAAATACTCAGACATTAGAATGTTTTAGATCTTTTTTTTTTTCTTTATAAACCATCGTTTCAACTTTTGAGTAGGACTAAACATTTTTTTCAATATGAAAAAGGCGATATGTAGAGAAAAGAAAGAATGTTTTACTGAAGCACTTATTTAGCCATATTTTTGCTTTCAATTTTTCAAAGCATTATGTATCGTTTTTAAGGCTTACATCCTGTTGCATTTACGGCGATACTTACTCATACTGTGGAACTGGGCGCAGGACAAACAGTTGTGTTCGACAAAATCATCCTTAATCTTGACAATGCTTATCATGAAACCTACGGACACTTCCGGGCCCCAATTTCCGGATTGTACCAGTTTTCTGTGTCATTATTAAATGATCACAAAGAGACTACGTTTGTGATTGTGAGAAATGGAAACCAAAATTTGGCCACACTGTTTACTAAAGCAGATCAATTTTCGTCATCTGCTAAGATGTTTGTTGTTCAAATGGAGTTTGATGATGTTTTGTTTGTCAGAACTGTTAATGCAGGGAATTTGGACGGATTAGCTTACTATTGCGTGTTTAGTGGATTTCTTATTCAGTAACTGTAATATTATTCTATTAATGCAAGTCTTAGTAATGATCTTTAAAGTGAATTTGGTCATTGACATAAAGCAGATTAGTTGAAATGCAGAAATTTGATGCATCAAAAGTTATTAACATACAAATATTGACTGTGGTGGCGGGCAAACATTTGTTATGTTAGCCCATGATGGATGAAAAATTGCCCGATGCGGCGCAATATTTTTGTTTCTAGGGGGGCTAAAATGATCAATGTTCCCGAAAACACAGTCAATAATTGTTTTATGTCCCCGTAATCGAAGATTCGGGGATACATGTATATAGTTTTTTGCCCTGTCCGTCTGCGTCTGTCTAGCTGTCTTTTTGTCAGCAAAAGCTTCCATAACTTTTGATTGGTTGGAGCATTGGCTTTCATATTTATACCTGGTTTATTCCTTGTGGCAAGACCTTCTTTTGGGTACGAACATATTTGACCTCTTGATCTTTGAGTTAACCCACTTTTGCAATAATTTACCAAACTTTAACCTTGGCCATAACTTTTGAACAGTTCGTGCTAGTACTTTTATACTTCACATGATAAGACCTTTCCAAAGATATAAAGATTTTTTTTTACCTTTGACCTTCACCTTACAGTTTGACCCATTTTAAAAAAACTTTAACCTTGGAAATAATTTTTGAACAGATAGAACTAGGTCTTTCATATTTCAAAGGTTTATTATTTGTGACAAGGTCTTTCTTTTGATACCAACAAATTGATCTTTTGACTTTGACCTTGGAGTTTGACCTATTTTTGAAAATCCTAAAAGTTGGCTTTCTTTTGCACAGTTGGAGCTAGGGCATTAATATTTCACATTAATATTTCTTATGAAAAGGCCTTTGAATTTTGACCTTGCAGATTCACCCAAATTTAAAAAGCTTAAACACTGGTCATAAATTTTGAATGGTTGGTGCTTGGGCATTTATATTTCACAGGTATATTCATTGAGGCAAGTCCTTTCTTTGGGTTATAACATTTTTTTTATCTTTTGACCTTGAAGTTTGACTTGCATTTGAGCAACTTTGACCTTCGCCAAAAGCTGCCATACAGGGGCAACAGTGTTTCACAAACACATTTTGTTTTCTTTTTTCAATTTTCTTCTTTTTTTTTTTATTTTTTAAGCCACTGCAGTATCTTACTATTACAATAAATCGTTCAACTAATCAGAATCAAAATTAACTAGTCCCCTACCGGCAGGTGTAAAATGGTTCCCATCAAGAATTGAAAATACCATAATTCCATAAAAAATCATTGAAGGGGAACAAAATGCAAACTTGATATTTAACCCATCAAGATAAACCTACCAAAATTCAGCTCAATATCTGCAAGCGTTTAGAAAAAATGCGGAAAACCCTTATAAATTGAAAAGGTCGTAACTCTGTCAAAATCATTGAAGCGGAGCGAAATGTAAACTTGATCTGTAACTCATCAAGATACACTCACATACCTAAGACCAGCTCAATATCTGCAATTGCAAGCATTTTGAAAAAAAGTGCAAAAAACCAAGTGGAATAGACTGACCGACAGACGGAGGGGCAGCTAGACGGACAGACAGCTAGATGGATACACAGACAGATAGCTGGAAAGACGAGGAGGAAACCTATAGTCTCCTCCGGTTTTACCGGTAGGGGACTATTGTCTAATGAAAAAGAAGGAAAACTCTGCCAGTCATTATTAAAAATTAAATGACGTCTCTCATTTCCATATTTACTTTAAATCTGTCTTGCATTTTTTGTATACAATTAAATTCATCTTACATTTAGGTCGAGGATCGGTGGCTTTTACAGCAATCCTGTCGCATGACACGGAGTTAGCGAATGGACAGACAGTTGTGTTTGACAAAATTCTTGTGAATCGAGGAAACGCCTACAATAAAAACTTTGGTCATTTTCGTGTGCAAAACAGTGGTATATATCAATTTACTGTGTCATACCTAAACAACGGAAAATCGTCATATTTTCTACTAGCGAAAAATGGGAACCAAGAGTTGATAATTGATTACCTAGAGTACGGTCAAAATTATTCATCATCGTCCAGCGTCGTCGTTCAGCTGATTGTAGGGGATCTTGTATTTGTTAAAACCATCATGAATCCTTCAAACCTGAGAGGTTCTGATAATTGCTTTTTCAGTGGATTTCTAGTTCAAAATATATAATAAAGTGCAATAAATATTGCTTTGTATATAATGAAATGTACGAAATAAAAGCCATCGTGCATCAATGAAAAACGTCATCGTGCACTGATGGAGCAGATTTCAATGAGAACTTTAGGTCATTATCACACAGTTCAAATCTTTTTTTTTTTCATTTAAGCAGAGCATGCAGCTAAAATCCAAATCGAATCATGCAGGACACATACATTTATTTTATTTTCCTTCACACAATGAATAACGAATAATGCTAAATAATGTTATATCTCCGCCATCTTGATTTTTTTTCTTTGGTTGGTTGGTTGATTGTTCACTTTTCATCCCTTCGAGAACTTTTCACTCAACTAAGTTCGGAGGTTGCAAATGTAAACCTTCTACACTTAAAGCCATTAAGCAGTACATGAGGGATCTTATGCCAGTATCTACTTCTACATGAGACCTACATTTACAGGATATCATCCGAAAGACTGGACTCCACGTCTAGCAGTGGGATTCTAACCAGTGGTGTAAAAATCTAGTCCTTACATTATGTACGAAATTAGCTAAGTTAAGCACTGGGCCATGCAGGCGACTTTTTAAGGGTTGTTTCTTCCCTTGAAAACTACAAACATTCCCACCATAAATTAAAGACCAGGCGTTTTAGACAACTGCTTTTTCAATAAAAAAGGAATTCGTAAATTTAAAAACCTTGTAATTGTTCATCTGCAAACTCATTTTGTTTAAAAAACATTCTTATTCGACACACAATTACTCCGAAGTTGATATAAAAAAAAAGCTAATTCAGAGAATTTGTGTTCCCCCTTAAGGTAAAAAGAAGAGGGTGGAAGAACGGGAAAAAATATGCAGATGTGGAAAGGAAAATAGTCAACCTTGACCTTTCAGCCTTTGACTTTAAAGTCAATAGGTTTTTTAGGTTAACCCAAAGTTATCATCTGAAAATATGCAATATATAAATTTATGACCTTTGTCTTTGACCGTTTGACTTCAAAATTAATAGAAGTCTTTTAAAGTAATTGACTAAAGGTATAAAATTTCATTTAGAAACCTCAAAGGTAGATAGAATTATCACCAGGAAGCATTTTATGCGATATTGAATTTTTAACCTTGACCTTTTCACCTAAAAATCAAAAGGACTCTTCTTTAAGACATTGAGAATTATGATATAAAATTTCATAGTAAAAGATCAGAGGAAAACTAAAGTTATCATCTGAAAACCATTTTTTGCATTAATTTTTTACCTTGACCCTAGACGTTTTGACGTAAAAATTGATAGTGGTGTTCTTTAAGAGACTAGTAGTAATGATATAACTTTATTGAAAAGGATCTGGAAACTTTTTTTTTTTGGCAATATGAATTGCATATGAATTTCTGACCCTGACCTTTGTCCTTTTGACCTCCAAATCAAAATGAGTCTTTTAAAGGCCAAATGCAGTTGTGATTAATTTAAGTTAAAGTTCAGAAACGAAAAAAAGTCTGACTTTGACCTTTGACCTTTTTAGGTCATAGGGAGTTGTTATGTTAAATTCATTGAATGAAAATCAAAGAAAACTAAAGTTATCATCTAGAATTCGTTGCATTACATGAACTTCTGACCTTGCAATGTATGAAAAAAATTCAATGGAAACTACAGATATCTTCTGGAAAATGTTATAATCTGCAATGTCTGCATGAATTTCTTACCTTGACCTTTGACACCATAGAGTCGGACACATATGTTTCATATTTGGATATTTTACTAGAGAAAGATGATAATGGCCAGCTTATAACTAAACTGTATTACAAACATGATAATTTCAACTTATCTATCGTCAACTTCCCTTATTTATGTAGCAACTCTAACAAAAATTTACGATAGTTAACTATAGTTTCCTACTTAAAGTTACTAGGATGTTTTTCATACAAATTGTTAGGTCACAATTTTCATGTTGAATTACCTGTGAATTTTTCCCTTTACCCGGTCATGAGAAGGAGTACACGGCGGTTATGGCCGGTCGACAGAGAATGTTTACTCGATCCTCCATAGCACCTGATCCCACCTCCGGTGTTTTTAGAGGTGCATGTTTGCTCTGTTCCCAATTTGTAATGTTCCAATGGACTTTTGAGCTTGATTACTGTTCGTTATTTTACACAATATATATCAAAAAGTAAAAGCACTTTGTTTATGTGCTAATACTAAAGAGCAGTAAGGATTATTAAAAAAAAATAATGCATTTTCACTATATGATTAATAGAGCCCCACCCTTACGCCTGAACTTCTGACCCAGGGGCTATGAAACTTCTGTAACCCTTGCTCATCGTAGATATACACTTATTTTCTTTGCTTTAAAACCAGGAGCAGAAAAATATTTTCAAAGAAATTATACTTTTTCATATAATCAATAGAGCCCCCCCCCCTTTCACAAGGACCCCCGAACCGGTGGCCATGAATTTCACAATTTTAGAAGAGGCATTCTTGCTTATAATCATAACCATGCACTTAGTTTGTTTAAACAATTTAAACAATACCTAGGAATAGAGAAGAAGATTTTCAAAGAATAAATGCATTTTCACTATATAATCAACAGAGCCCCTGACCCAGAGACCATGAAATTAACAATTTTTTTGGTAGAGGACTCGATGCTTTTTACAATCATGCCAACAGTTTGACTGCTTGATGTCCAGGAGTAAAGAAGAAGATTTTGAAAGATTGCATAAATGTTGGTGGTTTTAGCCCCAGTCCTCAGGCCCCAGGGGCAGGGCCATGAAATTCATAATTTTTGTTCCTCTTGACCCATAGATGCTATATGCCAAAATTGGTTGAAATTGATTCAGCGATTCCAGAGAAGAAGCTGAACTATTCAAATGTTAACGCAGGACAAACGACGCAGGACGAACGGCGACGGACTAAAACAGATAGCAATACGTCACCTGAGTGACTCAGGTGACTTAAAAATCTTAAAATCATCACCTCCTAGGGTTAGGATGGGGCCAAAATCGATGATCAAAGTTTAACAGGAGTACATAGGAAAGGGCTTTAAAAATATTCTTCTCAAGAACAACAAAGCTATGATTGGTCATATTTCAATCGATGCATTTCCAGGTAGTGTAAATTTAATTTTCTTAATTAAAATCGTGAACCCCAGGGGTGGGGTGGGGTTACGATGGGCGATCAAAGTTTTACATAGTAATCTTTTAAAATATTCTCACGAACAGTAAACCCATGATTATCATATTAATATCGATGCATTAGGAGAAAGTGTGGATTCAAATTTGTTCAAATCATGACCCCCGGGGATAGGAATTTACTGCAATTAAGTGATACCACTTCTTCGAAAAGGTTATACCACCTATTCAACTGGTGATATCACCTATTCGAATACCGTAAGTGATATCACCTATTTGATTTGAATAGGTGATATCACTTATCCGAATAAGAGTCAGCTTTGTTTATATTTCCGTGTGAAATGCTTTAGCAACATATAAGTCATGATATTATATAGAAAATTTGAGAAAATATTAACTTTAAATCTGTGCCCAGTCCCCTTTAAGATCTATATAATTAACAGAGACACGTACGCTAACTTCGACTGTACTCACAATTGTTTTTAAACTTTCAATTATACATGTTCTCTGTAATTCATTATTTTAAAATGATCAACTAGTCTTACTAGCATGGACATGACCTGGCATATGGTTGTAATAGAGGTTCTTACTGTGTTGTATAATGCTTTCTATATTCCTTTTAATAAAAACATGTTTTGGGATTCATTAGTTCAAGACTTTCATGAATGCAGTAATTTGATTTTTCTCCCCTACTGATAGTGAATGTAATAATGTCAGAATTTGACCATACCGCAATAAAATTGGGGGAGGGGGCAGTCTTTTAAATGAAAAAAAAAAAAAAACAGTAGAAGACTATTCTTCAAGAAGGTGTCCCCCTGGATGATCTTACTGAGCTGTTCCAGCACTCCAGACGTAGATTACCTCATGCAATATACAACTGTTATGATGAAATTTCATGAAAAAAAATGTTACTTTTTAAAAACGGAGCAAAATTACACGAACACAAGTGTAATCTTAACTTATATCATTCTCGAATTTATTTTCTGGTTACTTCTTCTTTGAAACATATTAAAAAAAATTAAGTTCTTACATTTCCAAGATTTTCATGGGGGAAAAAACAACACTGGTGAAAATACCTTCTAATAACATTTTATGGAATAATGAATGAGTATAACTCCGCCAATTTACGCTGGATTATCTTTCTTGCAGCGTACTTGAGTTTGACAGAGGACGATATGCGGACTTATTTAAAGCTGAAATCATAGCTTAGGATATATATTCTGATCCCCAGGTTCTGAAAATCAGCAGTTAAGTAATTGAAAATGCTCACTAAAATGTCTCTGAATTCATAAAATAATATGTATTTACCCAAGGTATTTTCAGTCGTCATAGTTAATCATATTATACAGAAAAAATTATCAATATTCTCATGTATCTTTTCAGGAACCGTGATAAAAGTACTGGCAGCTTTGCGGGATTTTTTTTTTATTATTATTAAAGGAAATTGATTAACAAGTATGTTGCATTTGTTAAAAATACATTTATATTTAATTTACTTCTTCTGAGAACTTCAATTGTTATATAGATAATAATACAAATTATATATATATAAAAAAAATACTTAAAAGTTTTACGACATCACAATTCTCTTCCAAGTTCGCATCATGCTACAGAGTAATAAGCATTGATATCTTAAGGCTAAATTAAAGGAAGTTTGATTTCTCTAAAAATGGAAATCGTTGCATGAAAAGGTTTCAAGCTTTCTTAAGACTTTTTCAATTAATTGGTAATACTAAGAATTATTGCTCCTGGCTGAGGAGCAGATATCCTTAACCAATGAGAATGATGAGCTACATAGATTTACATGTTTAAGGCTGATGTTTGACAGGCAAGGATCAGGGTCAACGTCGGGGAATAAACGGTGGATAAGAAGCAGTTTACTTGTTGGAGGGGTTAGAAACTTTGCAATTGCAAACATTGGTATATATCACCCCGACCCCCCCCCCCCCCTTCCCCCAAAAGAGCAATATTGAAGCTAAAAGCAGAGTAAGCAACTTCTTTAAACATTTTGAAAAAAAAAATCAAATGACATTGTCGAGTTTTACGTGTTTACTGTGTATGCCCATTACCAGAGTGATTTATTAAATTAATATGAATATCGAAGATAGTTATACACTTTTTAAATTCCCTTTAAATAAAAATGGAAAAAAAAGCATTAAAATACAATCGGGTTCAATGTGCAATGATCTAAAATCGGGTTCAACATGCAGTCTTGGAAGATGCTGCCGTAGCAGGCGGGATGGACTTTCAACAAGTGTTTTTATTTATTATATAGTCCAAATCACTGTGAAATTGAAATGGTAAAGTCGAGCTGGTTCTCCCTGGGGTATCAACTGTTTTGTGTCCAAAGGATGTCTCTCCCGAAGCTCGGAGGCTTTGATCTTGCTGTGTTGCTC